CCTAATCCCAGACAAATTTTCCAAATTTCATCAGAAACTCACTCATCATCCAAATCCTGTAGCACAATCCCTATCTAGCTGCAGCCATCCCTATAATCCTGCCCGAAGGTTAAAACGGCAGTGGCCCCGCGACCTTTTGTAAATATGTATATATTGGAGTACTGGCAATGGCCAGATTCTCCACTCATGTCCTGAGCGTCTGTTGCTCTAGTGCCCTCCATCAGTCTCCACTGGCTTGCAATACCAGTGACGCGGCTGGGAGAGAAGCACTGGGATCTCCTAGGGTCCTGCCCTGGCTTCCACATTTGGAGGACAAAGCATGACTCAGAATCCTCAAGGCGAATGTAAATATTGTATATAGGTATGAATGTGTTTTATATATTTCAATTTCATTTAGCTTTTCTCTATTTTTTTTTTTTTTTTTTTTTACCTATGTATGTTAAACTCTTTTTCTTTTATCTCTATTTTAGTTATCATTTGTATGTATATATTGTGTGAATGTTTAATGTAGCCCTAATATTAATTCCCTCCAATGCGGCAGAATGTATTAATTAAAAAAAAAAAAAAAAGATATCTGGACTTTTAGATATGATATAATATTTGTTATCAACTGTATTTGTCTTGTAAAAACCAAATAAAAAACTTTTGTAGTAACCGGTTCAAATGTGGTCTACCTGCTTTACAATTATAGCTGTCTCCTGATTATTACAATATATGTCTAGCGTCTTAACTACTTGCCATGTTAATTCACAATCCCTTCCTGCTCACTATGACGAATTTCTCCAATATTTCACCCGTAATTTCTACCACATTATTGCATTTTCTGAAACATGGCTTAAGCCCTATATCCCTTCCACCTCCGTTTCCTTACCTGATTATACCTTCATCCGTCATGACCGAGTTCACTGGGACTGGTGGAGGTGTTGGTCTCTATGTTCACAATAGCTTGAAACCCCGTATTCTAGATATTTCATCCCCTTCCAATCATCCTCACATTGAATTCCTCTTCGCTGAAATTTCTTGTAAAGCACATCCTCTCCTTTATGTGGTCGTTTATCGCCCTCCTTTGACTCCTTTTGACCCATCCTTCGAATCAACCTTGTACAATTATGTCCCTTTCTACAACATTATAATTTCCAGTGATCTTAATACCAACCTCCTCACAGAATCCAATAACAAACGCTACTTGGAAAACCTCTTCTTCTCCCTCAACCTTTTTATTGTTCCTTTCGCTCCTACACACCATACTTGTTGGTCTGACACCTGGCTGGACTTGCATATCATCGATTCAGAGCAGAAACTCTTGTCCTGTTCTCAATTACCCGTTTCTTTCCTTTCTTCTCACGATCTCATCCAACTATCGTACGATATCCAAACTCCCACATTTCTTCCTAAAACCATAACATTCCGCAATCTTGGCACCCTCACCCGTGATAAAATCTTGCCTGACCTTGAAACCCTAAACTGGAACGATATTTATTCCTGCACCTCGATTGATCATATGGTAGACATCCTCACTTCTAATCTTATCCATATTCTTGACATACATGCTCCTATCAAAACTTCAACCTTCCGTCGCCAACCTGCTCCTTGAATGTGTCAAGAAATTCGTGACATGCAAAAGAGACGTGAGGCAGCCCGCAGAAGCTTCAGACGAACTCGACTAGCAGATGACTATCAAGTCTATAGGGTACTCCGTAACTTGACACAAACAACGATCGGGAAAGCAAAACCAAACTTCTTTCATGAAACCTTTTCTTCTGCTCCTGATTCTAAATAAATATGGCTAACCCTTCGTAAACTCTCTCTTTGTAAATCCTCTACCTCACTGATCTACCCGGTTTCACCTGATGAATTAAATTCCTACTTCATATTTTCCAGTTCTCCTTTTCATCTATAATTTTTCCCTCCAGAACTCAGTTTTTCCAGCTGCTTGGAAAAAAGCATTAGTCAGACCTATAAACAAAATCCCCAATCCTACTTCTCCTAAAGACTACCGCCCAATCTCCATTCTTTCTAACCTTTCTAAACCTCTGGAAAGAATAGCTCAATCCCAAATCTCTAAATTCCTTGAAAACTCAAAACTACTTGATCCTCTCCAATCTGGTTTTCGACCTGGCTTCTCCACACAATCCGCCCTACTAAAAATTACCAATGACTTACATACCGCAATGGACGACAAAATGTTAACTGTGTTAATACTTCTCGACTTTTCGAAAGCTTTTGCCTCCTTAGACCACTCTATACTCTACATTAAATTAAAATCTCTATCCTTCTCCAACAGCTCTATCCTCTGGTTGCAGTCTTTCCTATCCGACAGAACTCAGCAGTCAGCATTCCAAACCAACCCCTATCTTCCTTCCTTACACTGTCCTCAGGAGTGGCCCAAGGTTCAAGCATTTCCCTTCTCCTTTTTAATTCCTACATAAATGATCTTTCCAAATTCATCTACCACTGTTCACATCATTTATACACTGATGACTCCCAAATCTATTTTTCCTTTCATCCTTCTGAGCTAGTAGTCGCGTCCGCCAATATTCAGGCAGACCTAGATAGGATCAGTGCCTGGGCAAGTCAGAATAATTTAAATCTAAACGCGATGAAAACTCAGGCCATTATTATAGGTTCCAATTCTATTCTTAAATCCATTTCCTTCCTTCCTCCTTTAGTCATCAAGGATCATCCTATCACATTCAGCTCCTCCGTTAAAAACCTAGGAATCACCATAGACGAAAACCTCTCCTGGAAACCCCATATCGCCCTCATCTCCCGTAAGTCAATAGGTACCCTTAAGCTATTTCATCGCTCCCGCCACCTACTCCCACAACCCATCCGCAAGCTCCTTGTATCTTCTCTCATTTTCCCCCATTTTGACTATGGCTGTGTGCTGTGCAGAGGCATCCCGATGGTACTCGAGGATAGATTGAAGCGACTCATGAATACGTGCTTAAGATTTGTCTTCGGTACATCGAGGCGGTCTCATGTGTCCCACCTTGACGAAGAGTTAAAGTGGCTCTTCCCTTCTTTCCGCAGACAATATTTCCTTGGGTATTTCCTATTGTTCATCCTGTTGTTAGTCTCCTACAGTTCAAACCCGTGGTCCGCTCCCAGAAAACAAGATCCCGTGTTTCCGACCTTCCCATAGAACTAAGATGTTTGAATATTCCTTTATTGCCCGATTCACTGCCTTCTGGAATTCCTTGCCTTCTGAAATCCGCCATGCCTCTTCCTTGTCCTCATTTAAGTATCATCTTTACCAATTCCTTCTCACATCCCAAAATGACGTTATACAATAAAATAAATACTGCGAAACAGATTTTGACTGAGGTGAATGGTTGTAAAAATTGATAGTTTTTAATTTTAAAAATCAACCCATGTTTATTTTATTTTGTTCTCTTTTCATTTAAATAATGTTTTTTTTTTTATATTTTGTTTTCTTTTTAAAATGGTGTTATTTTTACTTGTTTTAATTTAATTTTACTGAAGATACTATATATTCTTTAACATTGACTAATGTAATTTTTGGCCGGATGTAGTTTTTATTTTTTGTTCATTTCTGTTATTCATAAGGGACCTTGTCCCAGAATAAAGTTTTCTTTCTATCTATCTATGTCGGCTGACTTGCTAGGCCTTGTATGGTTTTTACAAGACACACTTCATAATGAATCTTAAATAAAGTCTACTGCTTAAATATTTTAGATTTAATTTAATAACGTTATTTCCATCTAATAATACAACTACACAGCAATAATGGAGATAGATTTAAACAGTGGGAGATTTATTGGGCCTGGCTCTCAGCTCAGAGTGTTAATCAACTGACTTTTGATGTCTGGACTTCTGTAGACTTTAGACCTGCTATAAGTGTAAAGCAAATAGACATCATTTTAAACGTCTGCAACAAAAGGCTTATTTGGTTTTTATTACATTTAAGTTTGTAACAACTGGTGTATAAAGTTTACAGAATATTAGGCATCAAAAGTCGGTGAATTAACACACTGAGAGCCAGAATCGATGAATCTCCTGCCACCTAAATAAAATGTTTATAGTCACTGATCAAAACTGCAGTTTTTACACCATTCGAAGCAATGAACTTATTGCACATATTATAATTCTTCAAGTATTTTTTAGTATGTATTATGAATGATAGGCAATATATATTATGAATGCACATTATGGTTCCAGGAAACAGAAGCTAATGAAAAAATCCAAAATTAGCTCATGATTAAGAAACATTCAAAAACTATTTTTTCATTGGTCAGTATTATCGTTGTTCATAAGTGTATAACTTTCTGTTTCTCGTTCTAAATAATAGTATCAATATAAATGATTAAATTCTAACAAAACTTACTAATTTTAGACTGATTTAAAATCTGCCACAAAGCCGTAAGTCTCTAAAATAACAGTGAACTAACCATTCAATATTTTCCAATTCAAACAACACTGAAAAAAAGATCATGTACATATATCCAAATACAGCATATCTTACATTAATAGTTTAAAAAAGATACTTGAAATAGAGAGAATACATCACTCCACAACACCTTAAATCAACAGTCTAAAAAATAAGTATCAATCAGAGGGAGATAGATGTCTTATCTATATTTGATGCATATTTTTTAAGATGGTGTGAAATGATGTATTTGACATTTATGTACGTGATCTAAAACGACTGGTAAGTTATTTACTGGTATTCAAGAGACTTAAGACTATGTATTCAGAATCTTGCAATAATATCCTAATAATTAATTAATGCAACTTTTTAATTGTTTGATTTTCTATAGAAATATACATTATATAGTTATATATAAATGCCTTTGTCTATATAATTTTTATTTATTTATCATAATATGATAATATAATATCAATAATTAAGGAAATGTATACATTAAACTTTTTCTTATTTCTTCAGAAAATGTAACTAAAATTATGTAATTCATAGATTAATTTTTATTGGAATATTTAATCAATAAAGATTAGAGATAAAATTAAACAAACAGTACCTTCGAGAAGATAAGGATGGAGCAAACATTCTTTCTTCATCTTCAGAAGGATAACTGTAATGAGAAGATCTTGATAAAACTCGGATCCTACAAGAACGTATGCTTCTCCTAGAGGGTCCAGCTACAGAAAACACAATTCAAATAGAAAGTAGAAACAAATTAATCATATGAAAAAAAGTATTGCTATTATTAAATACAAGTTTTAATTTTTTTTTATTAAATACTTTCTGTAAAATGGAAATATAAGGTCATTTTACTTCTTTTAATAAAAATAATAGTATAGCACAGGACTTTATTCTCCTTATTAATGTTTAAGAGATAATAAACTAAACATGAAAACAAAGATTAGAATCATTTAACCATAGTCAAATTTTTATTTGATTTTTCTCCATCAATAACCCAAAAACTGCAAAACAAAAATTATATTACTGATTGTTATTAACCTAAGTAAATACTTCGATTAATAACAACAACAATATTTCCCAATATGCTAAAAATTTGGATCAAAAAGTAGTGACCCTCATCTTCAGAAAACACACTATTCTTTAAATCAAAATCAAGCTGTGGTGTTCATCAGCCTTTTTAGTCTAGTAAAGTTAGGGGGAAAACAGCCTTGCCTCAACATTCAAAAAATAAAGATGAAACTTGTCAGAAATTGTTCATTACCCTCCCCATAATAACTGGTAAAAAGTCCCAAAGAATCCCTCATCGGGTTTATATGGGGGGAGGAGAGGAAGAACAGAAAACTGATATTTTTATAGTTTTTTTGAGAATATCTCAATAAATATGAGATTTATACATATGAGATTTTTCGCAAACATTGTTCAGTACAATATTAAAGAACTCTAAAATGTCTATAAATATTATTCTATACATTTTTTTTTTTTTTTATAAAATCAATGGTTATGCAGATATTTATGAGATTATATTTATTGTATTTCCTCTTTAATAAAAAATTACCCCAAAACATGAAATTGATGTTGGTTTAATTAGATGATTCCATTTTGAAGTTTAATTCGTTTTTTTAACATTTTTGATTGTTTAAATTATTATCCAAATACTCTTTGTTTTGATGATTCTAAAAAGTAATCGACAAAAGCGTTTTATTTGAAATCTATGAATGGGGAATTTCGTGATATTGATATCAAGTTTAGATTGACATTGATTTCATATAATTGGTATTATGTGATAGCAGACATTAAAAGCTTTAAAAAAATATTATAAATCATGGTCAGATTTCATACATAAAACCAGGAACTTCAATTTTGAAATTTTTAAGTCAACCACATCACGTTTTATAGTGTTCCCATCACGTTAATATTGTCAGTCATTTTTGTCTCACATTACGTAGTGGTAGTAGTAACTTGGAGCTTACATTGGGACTAAATTTTAAAGTGTTCATTGGTGAACTTTTCTGCTTTCACTGAAGAAGTTACCGGATTGTATTCTTTAATACACAGAACATAGTGGAATGAGACGAGGTAACGTATCACACGTCTATAAAAGGTGAGTTGACATAGTAATGGGGGAGCGCATGCGCAATAATCAGTTCGACTGACCATTGTCCTCATAGTTTCTTTGAGTCTTTTCTTTTCTTTTCTCTTTAATATTTTCTAAAATATAAAAATAAATAACAAATATCATTGTTCACATAAATTGTTCATTATGCAGGCAGATTGTGTCTAGGAAAGATAAAAAAAACCTTAATTTGTTTCATTCCCATCTGCCAAGCGATATATCATGGGAAATGTCTAAATGTGGAATTAAAAGACATCGAATCACTAAAAAAAGAAAAGGTATGAAAATGCCCCAATTGTGAAAGGCCCAAGAAAATAGTTTGCCTAGTGAAATAGGTGCGAGTTCGCAGCACACTGCTGGGGATGCTGCATCGCAGTTGCTCTTCTCTGCAATCAAAGAGCTTACGGCGGAGGTTAAGAGCCTGAGAAGTTCCATTTGATACTAATGCCTTGGAACAGAGGGATTTAAAATTATCACTAGAAACCCAGGCATCTATCACTTTCCAAAATTCAAAGCAATTGAAAATGATAAGAGTCACTTCTGGAAACCCAAAACTCCAAAATAGATGGATTGGTATTAGAGAATTTGAACGGTCTGCAAGAAGATAAAGGAAAAATTGAAGCCATATTAAACTATCCAGCGCCTAGATATGTGAAGCAAATTAGACAGTTTATAGGACTTATGTCATAGAATCGCCGCTTTGTTCCAAATTTATCTTCATTGACCACACCCCTCTCAGAACTATTGAATAATAACAATAGATGGAAATGGGGAAAAGAACAAGAAGCATTTAGTTAACTGAAAAAGAAGCTAGTTACCACACCTGTTTTAGCATGTCCTGATTTCAGCAAACACTTTTTACTTCAAACTGATGCCTCCAAAACTGGACTAGGGACAATTCTATTCCAAGAATACCCAGAAGGAGATAGAGTCATCGCATATGTGAATTGTTATATTGCTGTTCATCTATTACTTTGATTGAACTTAAGCTAAATATTAATTTGTAGACATTACTTAAAATTGCTTTTCCTTTCTAAAGGTTATCATGTTTATAGAGAGGAGTAGGAGGTAGAATTAATGAGGCAAGAGGAGTGAATATGAATGAACTTCAAAACTACATAACACTATATTTACCTTTACAAATAATTTAATATTGTGCTGATCTGTTTCACTACCTTATTCATTGTTACTTAAAATACACATAAAACATTGGGAGGGCAGAAATGATTCACAATCTTCTTTCTTTATCTTGATCACACACTATCTAGTCTCACCACAACGACGGTTAACCTTCTCCAAGATGGCAGGCTCCCTTTCTTCCCAACCTTTGGATACCCCCACTCCACTCCAGGTGCTGACTTAAAATCATTCCACAAATAGCAGAGTTGAAGTTTGACAACAGCAAAAAGAATTTACAGTGTCACTGAACGAGAACGCCTTGCGGTTCTCTGGGCAGTAGAAAAGTTTCGGCAGCCTCTAGAGGGTATGGATTTCACTGTCATCACCGACCATATTGCATTGAAATGGTTAAACAGTCTTAATGATCCTCAAGGTCGGTTGGCAAGATGGGCACTGAAACTTCAACAATACCAATTTACCATAATTCACCGTCTGGGCTAAGGAAATGCTGCAGCTGATGTTTTGTCCTGTTATTATGAAAACCCTTCTGTTATTATCGCTAGAATTGACATTGAAGAAGAAGTGATGGATACATGGTACAGAAAAATGTTGCAACGAGTAGAAGAGGATCCGGCGAAGTAAGCAGATTGGAGGGTTGAAAATCAAGGGTTATGGAAACGAGTAAATAATTACAGTAAAATAGTAGGAGACAGCAATGACAGGAAGTTAGTAGTTCCAAGGGAAAGAAGCAAGGAAGCTATCTGAGAATGCCAAGAATAAAGAAATTACAGGGAATTTCGGTCGCTTCAAAACCTTACAACGGTTAAAGAACTATTAGCTTGGGATGGCCACGGATGTAAAGAGATATGTTCGGAAACGCGAAGTTTGTTTAGAAATGAAACCATTACAGATGAAACCGGCACGTTATATGGGGAAACAACGTGTGGTTACCCAGCCTTGGCAGATGGTTTCGGAAGATTTTATGGGACTATTTCTAATGTCTTCCAACTGGAAGACATTTATTATAGCATTTAATGACTGCTTTACAGAATATAGCATTATTGTGCCAATGTTATAGTCAGCAGCTCAAGTGGTGGCTAGAACATTGGAAAGGGAGGTCTTTTTTAAATTCGGGGCCATTCAGATCATTTTATATGTGACAATGCAGATCAATTCAGAAGGGATATCTTTAAAAGAAAAGCAAAGGAATAGGAAGGAAGGCTCAGTCAAATTGTGGTATACTCCAGTCTATCACCCCCAGGCTAATCCAATGGAGCATCCGAATCAAGTGATTAAGATACTCCTAGCTTCCTATGTGAAGGAAAATCACAAACACTGGGACAAAGAGTTGCCAAAGTTAGCTTTTGCTGTGCAGACTGCAGTCAATGAAGTTACACGCTATTCGCCTGCCTACTTAAATTTTAGCCGAGAATTAAAAAATTCAGGCGACGAGAATGAACGGTTAATGGTCTCAGATGAAATACCTGAAATGGGAGATAAAATGTCAGTTCTGTATGAAGAAGTGGTAGAATGGCTACGTAAAGCATACAAGAAGAGTAGTCAGAATTACAACGGGAATGTAGACCTGAACGCAGGAGATTTCATGTGAAAGAGGACCCAGGCACTTTCCGATGCTTCAAAGAATCTTTCTAATAAACTGGCACCCTTGTATGAAAAATACAAGATACAAAGCAAACAGGGTAATTTACTATACTAGTAAACCCATGCAAAAAATTCGCACAGCATGCATATTGTTATCAAATGCCAAATTAATAAGAAAATAAGAAAATGCAACTTATCAAAAGATTAAGACATCAAATGTTACTTTATCCATAAATATAATCCACAAAGCAAACAAAAATTAATTTAAATCTTCATTTTTGTGTGGAACCAACATGTATACAAATTTCAGAAAGCTGTATATTTGCTAAAAATTGTCCGATTGCAATGATTTTTTTTCCTTTTGTAGGGAATTTAGTAATGTTCTATATAATTATGGGCATAACCAAGGGAAAAGTGTGTAATTTTTCAGTTATTCGCAAATAAAGTTTATTTTCTTTTATAACTTTTTCCCTGAATTTTCTGGGTGATTGGACTATTTTGCCTGACTGAAGAAGAAGGAAGCCTTCGAAATTGGTGGCTCAATCTTGAGATTTGGTGAAAAATTAACGATGATATGGCTTGCCGATCAAAAACACCATCGATGAATAATATAAACTCCCCCTATCTCGATCATAGAGACCTCAAGTTGACGAAATGAGACATGTATTCAATGACAGTATTACAATTAATGTAAGGTTGTGTGGATGAGAACCCTATGCCTTGCGTTATCTCGAAAATAGTACGTTTTTCGGCTTAAAAACGCAGGATCCGATAGTTCCGAAGGATCTTTAACAAAATCTTTAAGATCCAATTTGTCCCGTATCGACTTTATTTATTTTAGGAAGAAAAACAAAAGTGGAGAATACGATTCGCTAACCTACCATGAAATTCTGAATCCAACAGTACCCCATTCGTGGTATTTGAGCATGACAGGAGCTTATATTTGGTACAAAACCGATTTCGAGCCTTACTGTAATAATAAATGTACGGATGTTTTAGATGATCTGCAAGGTCATTCTTTAGGAACTTGGCATATCAAAGATTTGAAACCTCATCCAACATAACCTTCACATTTTATTCTTTATTTATTTTTTTTCGGAAGGAAGGAAGGGGAGTTTGTGGCTAAAAAAATAAAATACAAAAAAAAATTAGTTCGTAAAGTTATGTTTTGTTTATTACCTCGAAGAGGGTTAAATAAAATTAAGTAATTAATATTAGTTTTATTAATAAGTATTAGTTTAAAGTATTAATTTTAATTCGGATTGTAACAGCCAACAACCATCCTAATGAAGAGGCAGTGATTGTGATCATGTTCACTTATTATAACAAACCACGTGCTCCCTGGATATCATCTACATGAGAAGAGAACCAAACGATTACAGCTTATCACCTAGAACAGCCTCAATGCTGTGAGAGGACTAATGGCGTAAGTCAGAAGAGTCAAGAGGCGTTAAAAAAAAAAAAAGATGATTGGAAAAAAAAGGACAGTTTGGGGGATAGATGGCGGAACCTCGCGTAATTGTAATTGTGGATGAAAACAATTTTACTTGTGTAAGAAATAATTTAGTTTTACGGCGTACGCCGGATTTTCCTTTTTCTTCACCAGAAGCAGTGATAATCAGCGGTGATTTTACAAGTTGGTGAATAAACATTTTCACAACATGAAGAAGAGGACAAAGGAAACCGTGACGACACTGGCTGGAAAAATTTCAAGTTCCCATTCCTCAGATAACTCAATGTGCAAATTGGACGCAGTACTTTTGTAATTATGTATATATAAGTTTTTCTATCTATTTTTTTTTTTATAATTGGTAAATTGTATAATCGTAGGCTAATGCTTAGTTTGTAATGTTTTCTTAGACAATTAAAGTTTATTGTCTTTTTTTTTGTATAAATCTAATTTCTTGTTTATAATTTTCATTTCCTTTAACTGTTATTTAAGTCAATAGAAATAGAAATAAGTAAATTCATTATCAGTATTAATCATAGACAGTTTTATCTTCTTTTTTTTTTTTTTTTGTGTTTGTTTTCAGGTTTGAAGTATATATTATATATTTTTTTTTAAAGATTTAATAAGGAATTATAAAACTCTATTTGACGAATTAGGGAAAATCAATATGAACCAAATAAGAAGTTTCAATAGGATATAAGGTTAATTAACATATGTTTTTAAACCCATAGGTTCCGAGTTCGTAGCTCGCTCTGAGTCCAAATATTTTTTGAATTAAATATATTTATTTTTTCATAGTTTTCGCTATTTTACAAAAATCAACAAATTCAATAGTGTGGCACCTGTTAAGTAATTAGTAATATTTAATAACTTCATTATTTTTTATTTTTTTTTTTGCGAATCCTACCATCTCCACTGAGCATCCGGCAAGTTTGTTGCGGAAACAATTTATCTAATTTAAGACCGTTACAAGATTATTTAGTTTTTTAATTAGATACCAATAATGATATAAAAGTTTTTTTTTAAAACGTAATCAAAAAATAAAATTTGTAATAAGGATATCTTAGAAGACAGCTTCAATATTATTATTTTGTCTTTCAAAATGACAGAAGACTTCTAAATCGGCACTTATAAAATTAGTTATTTGGACATGACAGCACTTTTGATTTTTTTTAACTAAAGCTAGGTCTAACTACTAACCTTGACTCTCCAATCGAAGGCTCCTCTTCCCACTAGATATGACGAATCGGTTCCTTAACTCACGACTCCAAACATTGTTTTTAGGTTGATAATCTATCTCGGACTCCTCTCCTGAATCCTGCAAATAACATTCTATCAGAATAGTATTTAAAGAATTAATTTTAAGAATTAAAGATTACTAATTAAAAAAAAAATCACACAACTTCCACTTATCACTCTACTTAGAAAATCAACTCTAATCTGGCAAAATTGAGCTATTCTTTTGCTATATTTTTGAATTTCGGTAAAATTCATCAATATAAAAACAAATAGAGACCATCACAATAACATAAACCCTATTTATAATATTGATTGTAGCCTATAAAAACCTTACGATGTAATTGCATCAGTCTATTTGAATCATATAATTCCAGTGTCTGAGCTCTATACACTAAGAGAGGATTTGAAAGTACATATATTTAATTGTGAATAAGTAAGGATTTTACTGCATAGTAAAAATTATAGTTAGTAAATCTCTATCACTTTTTATATGTATTTAAATTCTTATTTTTTACCCTTGACATACCAAAATACAGCTACTTGTTTTTAAATATAGCATCGATAGGTCAAAAGTAGTCACACTAATTATAAGTGTATAAAGTGATTTCACAAAGGGAAATTTTTTTGGAATAAATCAATGATGTATACTTAATTATTTAAATATAAAATCGAATCTAGAGTTATTCAACTACAGTTAATGTACTTAAGATTAAAAACGTAAGTAAATTATTAAAGTACTTTAAAATCTCTATAAAAATGACTATACATTTTTAAAAATAAAATTAAGGGTTATAGAGATATTTATGATATTATATTTATTGCATTTTCTATTTAAGAGAAAATTACTCCAAACCACGAAATTAATGTTTGTCATCCATTGTAGACGAAACCTTTTTGAAGTTTAATTAGTTTATGTTTTTACATTTTCGATCGTTCAAATTATTATTCAAAGTTTCTTTCTTTTAATGATTCTTAAAAGTCATTGACAAGTTTTCTGAAAGTGTGGTGTCTTCAGTCCAGTTGGTGGGTTTCCAAATATACCGCGAAGAATCCTTGATAAACCGAACTTACTGTAGTTTAACTGATTAAAAGTTCCGCAGCTTAAAAGCAGTTAAACTATGGTAAGTTTGGTTTTTCATTCAAGGATTCTGCGTGGTATATTTTGTAATAAAACAAGTAAAAAAAATTTGAGGTTCGGAGAAATTTTCGCTTAAAGTGAAAATTCAATAAATATAATCTCATTAATATCTCTGTAACCATTGATTTTATCAAAAAAATGTTTAGAGTCATTTTTAAAGAGATTTTAAAGTAATTTAATATTGTACTGAACAATCTCTGTGAAAAACCTCTTAGTTTTTGAGATATCCTAAAAAAAAATACCAGTTTTCTGTCCTTCCGCCCCTCCCCCATAAAACCACAACGAGGGATTCTTTAGGACTTTTTTCCAGTTATTATGGGGAGGGTAATGAACAATTTCTGACAAGTTTCATCTTTATTTTTTGAATGTCGGGGGTCGATCCCTAATTTTATTGCACTAATAGTAAACTAGACAAAATTTATTTTAAACGAAAATAGAATTTGTCATTGTTAAAACGATTTAAAGAGGACTATTGGGCGAAAAAACAAAGCTAATTTCCGTTTAAAAAAAGCCATAAATTATTTGTGATTTTTTTTATCACCCTTTAACTGTACTACATTCACTCCACTTTTAGGAAAATTTCTTCATTTAATAAGCTTTAATTCCATATTAATTAAATTAAGGTTTATTCGGAGAAATTTTGAGATTCACCTCAAGTTGTGTAAAGAATTGATATGATTTTCTATCCAGAAACTTTAAAGTACCCGTGTTTTCTTAAAAAATGACTACAATTATCTGTTGCAAAGCTTTTATTTGTGGTTTTTCCGTGATATGGGATGTATTATAATAAACATAATTACCTAAAAACACATTTTATTTATAAATATAAAAAAATTAAAAATAATAATTTTTTAAATATTTTTCATGCAAAGATGTTATGAAACTATTTTTTTTTCTACCAGATCTCCATCATAGGAATTGATATGTATTTACATACAGCAAAGTAAATGTAGTACAGTTGAAGGGAGATAAAAAATATTACAAATAATTTTACTTTTTTTTTAAACAGAACATAGCTGTGTTTGTCTGCCCAACAGTCCTCTTTAAATAGTTTTAACAATGACAAACTCTACTTTCTTTTAAAATAAATTTTGTGTAGTTTACTATGGAGCAATTTTTAATCACTTAAATCAGATATTTTTTAAGTTATCGCTTCCTATTTAATAAAAAAAAACGTGACTCGCTTAAAAAAACACAAATCTTAAATTTCCTACATTTCTACTGGAAATTGGGCAATAGTTTGTAATAACACTTTATTTATTCTGGGATAGGTCCCTTTAGAAGAATATAGAGAGATAGAAATGAGGGTTTTGCAGCTTCAGAGAATAATAAAAAAAAATAGACATAAAAATGTATAATAGGTGATAAATAGTCATGACGCAAGGATGCAGTCATTGTTAAGGTTTTTATTAGTGCCGACGTTTCAATCTAAGCATGTGGGTCATCATCAGGGCTAAAAAATTGTTTAATACAAACGGAGATATAATATCTTTAAGACAGATAATGGTTAATAATGAGAAAATAGTGATTGATGATACATGAAATAGATAAATAAAATATGTAATAAGTTATACAAACTAAAAAATAATGTATGTAATCAATTTATAAAAAATGTAATATTTACTCTTAGTAACCGTGTTTCGAGCACTGAAGATATTCAAGTACTGACACTTTGGTAGGAAAGTAAAAGGGTCGAAAGAGTTTTTTTTTATGATCAATACTGTTATTCTTAAAATATTGAACAATATATTGTACTACATACTATTTCAATTCATTACAACTATGGAATACCCTATAAGTTATCGTCTAACTTTATCTATTAAGAAAAAAAAAATTTTATTTTCATAAACTGAGGAGATGGCGAAACGTTGATACTTAACGCTTTTCTATATTATAGAATACAGTGAGCTACGGGCGATTCTTATATAATATAGTTCCTCATAAACAAATTAGTTTTTCTATTGCCGCAAACAGAATAATAATTATCTATAAGATACCAACTGTGAGATGGGATAGCGAGAGGGCTAACACTGTGTAAAACACGCTCTTCCTGGCCACCTGATAAACCCAATTTAAATGATAAAATAATTACGAGTTCGCGTCCTGGTGCCAGGGGAGTTTTAAACTACCCTGCCTTCTATCCAGGATTAGTCCCTTATAGCCTTAATGGCGTAGAACAGGTGGACTCGAAAAAAAAATAAAATAAAATAAAAAAATAAGAATTAAAAAAAACTGAGACATTTCAGGTTAGTACGTGCTCTTTTAAGGATCACAATGGGTTGGACGAACGAGTGCTTGCCAGCCAATGAATTGCTACGACCACATTCTTTAAGTAAATACATAATTTAAATAATTTTTCGTTATGGAGGTTTGACCTTAGTGCTTTTTACAGTGACACGTTTGCCTAATGGTCAGAACAATATTCTGAACACTATCGTTTGCCAATATTAACTGTTCAAAAGCATGAGACAACTCAACCATTCCTTAACTATCTGTAAAATCAAGTTTTTGAAACACTACTAATGAATGGACTACTGGATATCACTAAACTAAATTTCTGGTTGCTGCAGAGTTCAAAACTGAATATAAAAAAATATGGTGCACGTAACACACAATTTTCATTTAACCCTCTACTTTGAATAGAAATTATTTTCTCGCAATCTTTTAACTTTAGCTCGGTTAAAAATGCAATTCAAAAATTTTATAATACTCGTAGCCCAACATGGCCAGAAAATAATTTCTATTCAAAGTTAAGCGGTAAGTAAAAGTTGTGCGTAGCGCGCACCAGATTTTATGTATTAAAGTTTTCCCTCTTGAAAGCGATACACATTCTGAGGTCGCCTGAGTCCAAATAACCAAGTCCCACAAAATGGCCGGTGTGTGTTGTAAGTCTAGCTCAAAAACGAAAAGTCGTATGAAACTGATATTACGTATTATAGATAGATATGGCTTAGATGTTACAGCAACTTTTCCTATAAAATTGGATAACCAGAAGTGCCACTATATATAAACTTTGAAATACATTTTTACAATTTTCTCAAAAACGGATCTAACGATTTTGATTAAACTCAGTAAGCATTGTATAATTAAATGGTCTTTAATATCATTCAGGTATTATCTCCATTTATGTCACTTTACAGGGCTTAAATGCCCAATGTTCATATTCGTCTTCCTCTAAAGTACCTTTAATATGGTTTATTTAAAAAAATGAACTCTCTTTTATTGATAGTAACTATAAAAAATGGCTAAATATGAAGTTTTAAAGAATGTGATAATTGGAGACTGGAGAAAAAATGCTTATCCAGGTTAAAAATGAATCTCCAAAAATAAGTCAGAAGGTATATGTATAATATATCAATGGAAAGCGGAGAATTTTAGAAAAAGCAATATTAAATAAATAAAGTTGTAGAAGGTAACGCAAAGTGACGAAAAATATATAAATAATAATTTCAGAAAACTAAAATTAACGTAAATGACATGTTTTGTTCTTACTAAATGTAAACATTAAAGTTTTTTTGTAGTTTAATAACTCTAGATATGATATTATATTTAAATAATTATGTATCTATTGGTCGTTTATTCCAAAAAATCATCAAGTAACCTTCTAGAAAATTAAATTAATGAATAATTTGATTAATTTTCCCTTTGTGAAATCCCAACATTATTCACTTACAATTAATGTGACAACTTTTGACCTATCCAGGGCAGGCAATGAAAATCTCCTAATTTTATTTTAGTAAACTTTACAATGAAAAATATTCAGATGTACTTTCAAATCTCTCTAGGCATATAACATTGGCTGGCAAGTACTCGTTCGTCCAACCCATGGTGCTCCTTAAAAGAGGATGTACTAACCCGAAATGACTCAGTTTTTTAAATTATTATTATTATTTTTTTTTGGTCCACCTCTTCTACTCCGTTGAGGCTATAATATTTCAAGA